ACCTACTTCAACAGATTACAAACTTGTGCCCGATCATAAAATTAATGTTTACTTACTAATGAAATATAAAAACAATGAGCTATTTTAACTTTACTTGTCATAAAACATTAGTTTTAGGCCTATTACATTTTTAAACACCACATTCTTTATCTAGTACGTTAGGGATTAGACACTTCCAATTCTTGAAAACCACCAGGGAATTAAATAAAGAATGCAGTGTTTAAAAATGTAATATGCTTAATTCTAATGTCTTACAACAATTATAACAAATCTTCACCATCTTGTAAAAGGTGTATACAACATAAGTGAGCCATTTTAAAATTTTAAACTACAAATATTAGCAACAAACCCCAGCCAAAGAGATGATAATGAAGACCTAACCAAACTCAGTGATCATTTAACTTATTTAGCCCTCTGCTACAAGAAACCAGTCATATTTGCAGAAGACAGAAGTTACTGTATAATAAAAAATAGTTACTGGATCTCGTGATACCGTATCATCTACAAGTAGCACTTTGTGGCTAACAGTACAGATAAACGTTGGAGGAAAGAACTCGATCTACAAGTGTAAATTACTCAAGCTGTAGAAAACTTTAATTTTTCAGTTTCATTGTAAAGTTTTTAGCAGAGAAAATAAATAAAAGTAGTAATTATAAAGTCGGCTCAACTTTGAACTTACTAAGTTAAAAAATCATTTACTTTAATAGAAATGAATTCTCTCTTAAGGCAATGTTTGTATCTACTGGTACCACTATCGTTATTAAATGTCAAGTATTGGTGTAATGAAAGTTTAATCTACATTTGTGCAGTTTTAGCAATATGCGGAGTGAGGGTGACAGGGACTGCTTGCTTGGTGTCAAAAGGAAAGAATAAGAATAATGTATTGAATATCTGTTGAGAGAAAAGGGCTTCAAACAGATGCGTTTATACTATATTTAACTATCACAGCTCTTAAGATTAAACCAGTCACTATTATATGTGTGTGTGTGTGTGTGTGTATTAGCATTATTCATGATCAGTTTGTAAGCTTTTTTGCTGAGAATGTTAGGCCTAAAAATGTATGAAGTTTAAGCTGAATGGTAGGAATGCTTCTAGGATAACAGGCAATACCAGTATTTGTTCACAGCGTAAATGGCTGTTAATGTTGAAAGACAGGATTTTAGTTGCTTCTTGTCTGAAAGGTTAAGTGTGCTGGACAAGTTAATCAGATAGAATCAGTTCTGGTAGATTGAATGAGAAACATGTATGCCTAATTTTCAGTGATAACAGTTTTACCAGTGAGTAACTTCCAGTAGATGCCATTGTTCTTGTATTAAAATTAAGTTTGTTTGTTTTTTATTCCTTGCCATTGAACTTAGTAAAGATAGTCTTAAAATGTTAGTAGGGTTAAGCTTGTCTTAGACATTTGTCATAATGGCAAAAACTAAGTGAAAAATTGTAACAGCACAAACTTGCATTTCTGCCTTACCATTCACTAGTAATTACTAATCAGTTAATCGGACTCATCAATAGATTACATTCAACTAATTGGTTATTCTCACATAAGAATTAGATAGCTGGAATAATGACATTAGTAATAAGGCTGACTAGTGGGCTAAAATCACTTCGAAAGAAAGCTTTAATCGTACACTAAATAATTGCAAGATTGAAAATTACAATTTGTGTACTTTTGTATCGTGTATTTTCCGTACAAACATTAAACTTGAGAAATAACTACTTTTTTACGATGCAAGTGATCATTTGTACTTGGGATTAAACTTTCAATGAGACAAAACTGACTTCTGTTGGGAATAACAAATTTTACCGACTTATTGTCACACACAGTTTTCTATTTCCGTTGCATGTTTGAATAATACACCCATGAAATTATTGAACTTTAAATAAAAAAAATTAAATGTCCAGTCATTTAGGACTTTGTTTCTTCAATACATTCCACAAATAACCAACTGTAATTACATCTGCATTGCTAGCTTCCATTATGACACTTCCCATAACTAAATATTGTCAAACTAAACCAGCAAATGTTTTTCTCCTGTACATAAAGAGTAAGATGTTGTGATTCCTTAACAACAAGAAAAAAAACAAAAACACCTCACCATACATACTGACAGATTAGGGGTAGTAGTGGTGAGCCGGCCCCAGGAACTGGTTACCTGAACTATTGCCGGATCATTAGGCAAGCCCCCGGTCAATGTGGGCTGAGGTTTCGGAGGCTCACATACATGCAAGTCTTTGATGTCACTAGCTCTGAAGATGATGTATTCATAAACTTCATCACGGGGTGCAACAGGACGGTCGGTCGGCCGGTCTTCGGTTCCAAAAGAACGAACTGTAAGATGATTAAAAAAGCTAGAGTTTATAGTTCTGACAAATGTTAAGTAATGTATGTCAATCTTTTGTGTGATTTGTTTTTACCTCTTAGTTCTCACTAACAGTCGTTGTTCATGAAACATGATGTAAATAGAGCCTAAACCACTACTGTCTGTTGTATCAAAGCAGGCCTGAGGAGTTCTGGTGTTGGACAAAAGGCCTCATCAGCACTAGATTTTGAAGATTTAGCATAGTTTATGTACTTTCCTTCTGCTGTTGCAAACGGCCTCTATGTCGACAACTTCCACATTTCTTGTCGGTTGCCAAACATGGGGTTTATTGAGCTGCAGTGTCAGACTCTCTCAATCACTTGTTGGGGTGGATCACAGCAGACAGTTTTACTGTCTCATCATCTAAAACAGTTTGCGTACATTTTTACCACCAGCAGGGTTTGCATTCTAATCCGGAGCTCCATCTCAGTGGTGATATTCTTTCCATGTTGGTTGAGACTAAGTTCCTAGGACTTATCTAACCTTCTTTATTCTTCACATGAAGCTGCTTAATGAAAATAACACTTTGCTATCTTTGAATTACAATTATAAAACTGGAAGACTGACTAAAATTAAGGTTAGATACTGGTATAATGAACTTTATTTCATTTGAATCATTATAAAAATTTTCAAATCCCTAACTGAATTTAAATACTGAAGAAGAATGATGTGAATAAACAGCAATGCACAACTCAACAGAACGAGACCCTGAACAATGAAATTTGTGAATATATAACTTTCCACCACTCCTTCAAACTTGGACTGCTAAACCTGAAACATCACATTTTAAAGAACTGTCCCAGGTGATAAAAACTAGTTGGCAATACCATAAAATCTGCCAATTGGCATCTTTGTCCCCAGAGCTCGCACGTTTACCATTTTCAAAGTTGCTTTTATTAGAAGTATGGTAAAATCTTAAATACATAATGAAAAATAAAAGCCTAACGAATGCTTGGAAATTTTGCTACAACATTTTAAAACATCTGAAAAATTTTTTTTTTAAAGATAACTTTCTCAATACTAACTACCAATACTTCAAAGTTTGTATGGAGGAAGCAAGTGTTACCTTCTGGTTAAGTTCATTACACAAACTAATAAAATGGGTGTTACATTTAAAAAATAAATAGCGATATAATTAAAATGCAATGTTACATAGATAGCTTTTTATAACAATACAAAAATCCATTCTGTAATCACAAGTTTATTTAATTACAACTGTACAACAGTAGATTCATGAAAATTAAGAGAACATCTCAATGAATCTATAGAAACCAAGTACCTTAAAAGTATTATGTGTTTGCTATGCCCCCCCCCCCCCTAACAATGTCCTGTAGCTCCTAGTTTGGGAACCCCTGGACTGATACAATGAAAAGGTGTAGTTTCACATAACTGTACTTGCAAAGAAAAAAATACCAGTTTAAGAATATGTAAAACATTCAACTACATGTAGTTTTAAAACTTCAATGGAACTTTTTACTTTATTTCTTGAATGGGACAATACTTAAGGTTGTATAAGAATCCTTTATCATATTCCTTCCAAGAGTAAGAGCTGTTTATAAAATTAAAGGACAACAAAGGACCTTTTGTTCCATCTAGTCCATCCTATACACTATAATAAACACTAAAAAACTCAAAACTGGTCCTTATCATTCAAATATTTATCAAGCCTGAAGGTAACTCATTCCAAAGGCCAACCACCCTGCTACTGATAATGTTTTTAATTTTCTTGAAAAAATATGGTCAGTGATATGATATTGTAATCAAATTCATAAAATATGTTTCTTTGTGTAATAACAATGAAATAAAGAAATGACCCATGAATGATAGCAACAATTTTCTGTCATAGAATTTTTTTTTGTTTTTAAGTGATTTAAAAATAAAACATGCTACTTTGTGCACAAAAAAAGTTACTTTTCAAACAATTTCTTGTGATAAAAATGTCGCTTAAACTATTAGTATTTCTAATAAAACTTTACTTAACTATGTAGTGCAGTATGAGTATAGAGTATCTTGTTACTTCATTAGTGACAATCCCATTTTATTCTTCTGTCCTACAATGATTCAGGTCTTACTGAAGCTTTATATTTTTATATTTTATCAGTTTATATGCAAATTAACACAACTTACTAATAAAAAATCTAACTGCTCAAACATAGATAATATTTAATTTTATCTATTACTATTAGTTTATAAGTTACAGTCTAAAAACAAGCTTTGGTGGACAATGTTTTTAATAAAACCAGTTTGAAATTAAAAATAAAATATAAAACTAGTACTAGTAATATACAAACAGTTCTCCAACTAACCCTAGTAGTAGCACTGAAGCATTATGTTATTTAAATTATACAAAAGGTAGCAATTAAACACAAAATATAGTTTACACTATTTAGTCACATACTATTAATGACAATAACAAGTTAATTAGTTTGTATCATACACTACCAGTACCAGTCTATAATTATTATTAAATTCTCATTAGGTAATTAAGTTTAAGGATTGCACTTTACATTAAACTTAATGTGTCAAATATGTTTCGAACAATTCTTCTGCACTTTATCAAGTATATTATTGTTATTACAATACACGTTTGTACTTTTATAACTGCTTGATGGTAATAATCGCAATGAAACCCAAACAAAGACGAACCTTTTGCCAAAGCAACCGTTGATTCTTTGGTATCAATTGTGTATAATATTCCTTCATATCGAATTTCAGACTTTGATATCAAGCTGATTTTACTCCCTAAATACGGTACTCCTCCACTCATGTTTACGTAATTTTACTTGACAATCACGAAATCCGATGACTTCTGATAACTCTTTATCTAACCTACAACTTTCATCTATAAATCCGTATGAAATGGCGGATGGTTTCTCTTGCTGAGTTTTTACACTTACCGTTAGGTAGCGCTATAAACAAATCCACAGAGTATTATGCAAATTAGGATATTATGTAAACAAATCATAAGTCCACCTGTTGTGGTGGTGTGATTACTATTTTTATACATATTATTAGTATTTTTGGACATATAAAATTTGCAAAATAAAGTAGCAAATACCTATATTATGTGTATTTTAAATTCAAACATGTATAAACTGAACATTAAAAATCCCCTGAGAAATTATCAAATTAAAAATTCAAGAGACATATGTTTTACAAAGTATTAAGATCATCTTGTTAAGTATCTAACAAAATAAATATTGTTTTCTTCTACACAACATACACTGAGTGGTCACAAGTAAACAGACACCTAATTTTTCGTCATTTAACTGATTTATGCTAACTAGTTTGTGTTCACAGAGCACTATA